ATTTGCGTAAATTTAAACTTGCCGATTTGATTTTTTTTAATTTTTGAGTGGCGATTCCTGGTTTCCTTAGTCTAGATAAAATCTTCAACCAACTAGTTAGTTCTGCGAAAAATGATACCCTATTGTAGACCCAAGTGCTCTAATTTATATACCCTATCCTAGAGTAAACTGCTTGAAAACCATAACCTTCACAGCTGCACATACCTATATAGCCTATATATGGCATTTCCCCCCCCCCCTGGCGTACTTCAGAGCACTTAGTCTAATTATTAGGCTGTTGAGTCTCCCACAACCTTGTACAATACTTAGATTAGTCTTGCAATGTTTTCCACTGTTTAGTTATGAAAGTCTGAGGAACAAGCTCTTAAGTTTGAGGAAACAATTGATGGAAATAACAGGAAAGGTAACAGTTGTGTGGCATTGCACTAATTTGTGCAAGCTTGAACACTTTGTTGGTCTTTTAGCATTTCCCTGGATAGCTATAAGTAGCTGGTTTTCAGTATAATTTTGCACAGTAAAACACCATTAATATGGGGTGGTCGAGTGAAAGTGTTTTTCTTTAAAAGGTTTTTTTCAGTTATACGAGGTGGTTGATTAGAGCTTAGTAGGTTAGTAGGTAAGTCACACACACATGAAACTAGGATATTGTCTTGTGAACTTGTAAATGTTTATTAAATGTTCTTGTGTTGTGGAAACATGAGTAGATATTGCCCATGCTTGCAAGATTCTAGTTTGTACTCTTTACTCAAATGTACAAACCAAATCCCTTCTTGGTTGTTGTTGTTTTTTTCTTTTGTTTTTTTCTTTTTCTCATGTGATCTATCCAGTGAGAATACTTTTTTTACATGAAAGGGATGTCAGACCATGTGTCAGGTTGTCCCAAGAACTCCAAGACCGGGTTTTGCCAATTCCTACCCCTACAAGAGGCACTGTAAGTTAAAAAATTAATATTGCCTAACAGCACAGTGCAAAGGTTCTGGCCAGCCTCAAACATAGACTGTCAATTTTCTGCCATCTTGATTCCATTACATTATCTCCGTGATCTCCATGCCTTCTTATTAAAATGTATTTGACAACCCAACTGTGATCTTTGAAATCCTTGATAATTTAACCACATTGTACTTGTATGTTTTTAGTGTTTTAGTTACACATGTTGTTTTATTACTAAACTGCAGGATCCATTGCCAGAATTCCACCCTTTGGCTCAACAAGAGGTAATTTTCTGGGTGGGAACAGGGTCAACTCTAATATACACTGTAACAGTGACAAGGGATCATCAGTAATTTAGAACGAATACCTAAAAGGGTTCAAAACCTCGTTAGGTTGGTGTGGCTCAAATTTCCTCTCAAACTTTAAGAGGCCTGTACCAAATCTTAGGACAATACAAAGATAATATTGTCACAATTTTTAGCAATAACAAAAACAGTGATTAAACAAGGATATCCATTATACTGGGATAACTATTTCAAAAGTCATTTTAGATTAAATACCCTAAGTAATGCCAAGCCATGAATTTCCATGCCCTAAGATGGAAAAAATATCTTTCTCCTTGATATCAAAGTTCTCCAGGGGTTAATGTATGATCAGTGTAACTTATAATAATTATGTCAACTTGTAATCAAAGGATTATTGTTCAGATCCAGCTTTGAATTCCACCTGACTAAAGCTCAGCCAAGATAACCCTAATAGAGTTAGTCTTATTGAGGTCCCAAAAGTACTTGACATGTATGATTTAATCACTAATTAATACTCATTTGGTAAATATTAATTAAGTAATAATAAATTATTTTTATCAACAGCCTTTGAAGCCTGGAATCGGTCAGTACTCTTCCACTAGTGCAGCAGATGCAGACGAAACTCCATTCTTAGAAATGTGTATTGGTAGGTTTCATCAGTCTTTAACCATGCTATTGTCAGTTCTGTAGTTGAAAATTGACACTGAGAGGGTAAACTACCCTCTGCATACTTGTCAAATTAGCCCCTATTTGCCAGCTTGTCGAAGTTTTCTTCCAGACCTTCACTGCTACTGTTATAGTAGCAATCCAGGAACCTTGCTTCCATTGTACTTCACGCTAGTGGACAGTCCCCTAGTCCTTGTCCATTGCTGCCAACCTCCCACAAATAAGAACATTTGAATTTATAGTGGTTGATTTTTCAGAAAGGTCACATTGGTAGGCCTAGCTTGAAAAATTAATCATAAGTATTCATATCTGTTCAACACCTCTTGCTGCTCTTGTTTTGTACTGAAATAAACAATGTATTATCTGTATTTTAATCTGCAGCATGTCACAACCTGATCAGTACTGAGGAAGGAAAATTACCAAATGCTTTTGTTGAAATCAGAACAATGACTCCACCAGCTACAACATGGAGTAAACATGCTCAAACTGAAATTATAGAGGTCAGTTTTTAAAACCCAGGGGAAAAAATTCTTCTCATATAAATTGTGCATATGTACTCTTGTCTTACATACTCTGTTAACTTATTTTCTAGCAATACTACAGTTTTCTTCTTATCAATAAAGAAAATTTTCTTATATTTTCACACTGTTTCCTTTACACCATTCACAGCAAAGTTGTGATCCGTATTTCTTGACAACTGTGGTGTTCCCAGATGGAGCTGTGAATGAACTGACTCGCTTGAAGTTAGCGGTGTTTGATGTTAGAGACAGGGAGAAAGAAGAGGTATGTTGGAAACTTGAAGAGCAAGACAGATGCGTTGTATAAATCTTCAAACTTTGTAGAAACTCATTGCTGGAATGAAAACCAGTATACATGTATGATTAGGGGTGTACCTGTCCAACACTAATTTGAAATTTTTTGAAGTTGCCATTTTTGTGACTTTAAACTAATTTATTTCATTTCCTTTTCCCAAACACAGAGGTTTCATTCACAACAATCAAAGGCTATTTGACACCCTAAATTATATAGTTGGGTGGGGATAGCTTGATTATTCTGCAGCTCAAACATCCATCCAGAAATGATCAACAAAGTAATATTATAGCATCATTTACCAGCACATCATTTATAATCACTGTTTTGATTTAAGCAAGTGCACAGACAAGGGAAAGGGAAAATGTAGTTTGGAGAATATTAGATATGTATCTTTGTTTGAAACCAAATTAATATTTGGTTAATGTACTTCAATCTTGGAACCTGCCAGTTTCAATCTTGGAACCTACCCTGCCAGTTTTAATGACTGTATAAATTTATTGTTTATGGTTTCTAGAAATGCAATATGCAGCTTTGTGAATTTAATTCTATTTCTTCTCACAGATGTCCTTGTTAGGCCAAGCAGTGTGTACTATGGGGGACATTTTGACATCAGTAGATCAGAAATTGCTCTTGACTTTGACGTAAGTATTTAAAGGAGNAAACAATACCCTACTTATGACCAAAACGGCTGAAAAACCATACCTTTTGGGGCCGCACATACCAATATTGCACCTGTGAGGGAGTACCCCCGCCCCCCTTTCCGGCATGCCATGTCTTCCTGAAGAGAATAGAATTAAAATTTTCCTGAATATTTGTTGGGACGTGGATTACCAGGCTCTAAGTTTTGTCTTTTTTCTCTCCTTTAGGATGAGAGGAGTTGTCCTCAAAGTAGTGGAGCTGATGGGAGAAAGTGTCCTCACTTTTAAAATCCCAATTCAACTTTTGTAAGTGCTTTTAATTCTCTAGACACAGCTAATACTTTAGAGCCATTTTTGTAAATGAGTAAAATGTAAATTATGGATGGGTATAGTTTTCATACGCCTAGCTCTAAGCTTGCAGGCATGCCTCTCAAACTCAGTGGGAATGAGCAAAAAACTGAACATCTCAACTCCGCCTCCCACTCTCTGGATGACATCATGGTCTGTGGCTTGAAACACTGCTCTGGCAGTAACATCAGCCGCAAGCAGCATGAAATGAAATTAATCTTCAAGCTGGGCACGCTTCGACCGTACAGACTGAACATTAACTTCAATTTCTTGTGATTGTGGGTTTAGCGCGTATTACACATACGCGCTCAAAAACAATGGTTTTCATATTTTGCAGCACGCCTTTGTTTCCTTTGTACTTCATGCACGTGCTCTCTGTGCGTGTGTACGCGTACAGTTTTTTGTATGGCATGGCTCAATCATTCCACCTACTGAAGAAGGGCTAAGCCTGAAATGTTTAGATTACCAGCGAATATTTGACACTTTTAAGAGCCTTTTGAGCCTTATATCTAATTTAATGCCTCTCAAACACATGGTACTGTTAAGAATTTGTCCATTCCAGCTAGTAGAAGTCCTAGGATCTCCAGATTACGAATTTCCTTAAATTACTCAGCCATGCTGTTCTTACTGCTGTTTGGT